TTAACGGCTCCTTCAAACTTCAATTGGATAGGGAAGCAGCTAATTGCTGTGGAGAGCGCTAAGTCGGTCTTAATAACCGACTAGGCTAATAACAGGCTTTTTATTACTATGCAAGGCATCGTCCAGTGTAAAATGAACGCGTTTCGAGCTTACTACTAGTTGTTGTGAAAATTATTGTAATTGACGCTCCGCCTACTGCCTTTGTTGTTTCGTGGTTACAGTTAACTGAAAGAATCTTTTGTCTGGTCTGGACCTTTCAATTTAGTGTCGTTTCTCCAAATTGGACCTGAATGTATTATTTCTTCTAATGTTATCTTTGGCCAGAAGCTGTACTTAAATACCCTTTAAGACCCATCGGATTTATATAGTTAATTACTGTATACTTATCGTGGCTAATTGTCTTTCCTTTTAAATCTTTTCAATTGATTCAAGAATTGTGAGTAAGGTAATAAAAGTGTATTATTCTCTAAATGTGTGAGTATCAATCAGTAGAGTTTTATTAATTCGTGTCGAATTAATACTTGGATCGATAGTATAATGTTGCGTTATTGCTTGGTTATTTTAAGGGAACTGAAGTTTAATATGCCGTTATAAAAGCCCTTAAAAAGCAAGCAATCTTAACAAAATATCTTAATATCTTAGCAAGCTAATCTTAAGCAAAATGATTATTATCATTTTTTTTTTAAAAGTTAGATAATGATTTATGGACGTGTATTAGTTTGTCTTAAATAATAGGGCATCAATAACGCCTATACGTTATTGTTTCAAATTCGTTGCATTTCTTCTAACTTGATAAAACTTAAAAGAAGGTTGCATTTTACGTGTAAACCATAAGTTACTGTTGCTCTTTTGTGTTTTCTGATACCTTATGATGTGTAAAATTTTGTGCTAAATAGATGTTCCAAAATTTGAAGTTTTGAAAAGTTAAATCGTATTTTCGTGATGATCTCTATGTACAGTGTGCAAAAGAATAAAATGAATAAGCAAATAAAATTAAATTTAAAAAAATAAAGAAACAGTACACTCTGAATAACTTTTGACTCCATCCTCGCGTTCTAGGACTCAATCGCAATTGGTCGAGGGATGGACCTTAAATGTTCCAATAAATTAATTCATGCGATACTTTAAGTTAAGAAATTAGACACAAAATATACTTTCTCTAAATAAACATACCTTTTCTTCTACAGATTCGAATTTCTGACCCCCAAATCTCAAGAATTGTTCGAGCGAATTGAAAAATTTTCTCACACAATTCTAAAATTCGTTTGTCCAATGATAAATCCTTATAAAAATTAACTTTTAGTAAATATTTATAACTTTTTATTATTTTATTTAATACTAGCGGAAAAACTTTGAATTGAAAGGTATACAATTGAAATAATAATAATAATAATGTCCTTCTGAATTTCCTCCTAAATAAGCTATTTTTACAGCAAAAAGGTCGGATTAAATAAGTTTATTTTTAGTTACAAGAGGAGGGATAAACCTAAAGTTTTCAAACCATACTAACTCAATATTTGAAGAAAAAATCCTACATGAGTAATTGAAATTTTCTTTATTTGTTTGAAATATTGGGATAAGGGTGTTATTTAGAAGCGTCTAAATATTTAAAGAGACATAAACCCACCACCCTGTTAATTGTGAATTTTCACTCTGATTTTGCTCAATTTAGCTAATAGAAGTTTAAACTTTAGTTCATCTTTAATCCAATGTTATCTAAATTAATATTAAATTTGCATAATTTAGTGCATCCCCTATCATTTCACACTCTCACTCCAACTATACATCGAAAATAATAAAGGTATAAATACCAAAACTCAAAAGGTAAAGAAAAATCTTGAATTCCTAACGCGTTGGGACATGTACCTGCAGGTGTTTGCGAGAATGCGGCGAAGCGAGTATTTCAAAGACCGCACCGTTAGATGGCAAATTCTCTGAAAATAAGCTGTCAGGAACGGTCGCTATATTTTCCAGTTCTTTGTTTTGAAAAATACTTTTTTTTTTATCCTTCGTGGAACATCCATTCCAATTTTTTTCCTCCCATCCCTGCTAAATTTCCTATTACCTATCTCTCCATTGTCTCTCTTTGGTTCTTATCATCTGCATACGATGGTTTTTGAAGGAAGTCCTCCTGTTGGATAAATGTTGAAAAGGCATGGCCTCTATCTCAATATATATATAAATATACATATATATTTTTTTCATTTTCTTTCTCTATTTCTTGATCCTTCTTTTTTCCCTCCATACTTCTTCTGTTGCAGCATCTGCGAAGAATGGCGAGGGAGTATGCGTTACTAAAAAGAAATGCTGCACAAAGTAATACTTCAAGCGTGAGGGAGTTTTTTTTTTCTCCACTGCGCATTATTTGTATCCATTGTAAGCTTGATTTTTCCTTCTTAATTTTGTGAGTACGCTTTTCATTTTATGCCTGGTGAACTTCGAGTTAAGAACTGGAATGAACCAGCGCGTTTTTCTTGAAAATAAAAAAAAGTCCCCCCCCCCCGGAAGAAAAAAAAATCATAATTGAAAATTCATATTTCTTCCCCGTCTTTGCTGCTTAAATCTGGAATTTCGTTAAACCTATAAAAAATGAATAAATAAATTACCTCATTACTACTCACTTAAATATTTTTTTTTATTTGATTTTTAAAATTCAATAATGTGTACTAATTGGATTTAATAAAAAATACAATTTCATTCCGTAGATCAAAACATGGCAAACCTTACGCTTTATTTATGTTCTGATTTAAATTTTCTCAAATTTATTTGCGGCTTATGATCTTTCAGAATTTATAAATTACAGAAAACTTATGAATGGTAAAATTACGCGTAAATTTAAACACAAATCTCGATAATAAAACCTCATAGAATAATTAACCTGTTCACACTTCGCCTCGTAAACCCAATATAAGCGCAGTGATACACCGTAAATTTTCTATATTTCTTCCAGTTTTAGGAAGCTTGTTATTGTTGACATTCATTCACCCATCCATATGAGGCAAATGCTTACATTGAAAATGAAGCAGTTTAGAGGCTCCTCACTATTTTATCTGTATGTTAAGGAGCTGTTGTTTGTATTTCAATATATAGTCTTCATTAGAATTTATATCACTATTTTGTTCGATCTAATTGATCTTTTTTCAAATCAAAATGTAAAATAACATTCACTCACACTTATGCTTAAATAATACTTAAATTGTCATATGAAAAGAATTTTCCTAGCGCCATCTATAGACAGGTTTGGTCACCGTTGCGCAAGCCTTAAACTGAACAGAAATAGACAGATGAGATCGTATTGTAAAACTGAAATATTAGCAATCCAAAATAATTTGAAGCTGAGTTAGTAATTTTTTTTTCGAAGTCGTTTTAAATAAAGCTTTAATTCTGAGAAAGAATTGTAAAACGTGACATTTAAGTAGAAATTTCGTCTGCTTACACAAATTTATTCTATCAAGTCTTTCAATTGGACGATTTTCATTTAAAAAGATGTTTCTTTATGTTTTAAAATTAATTTGTTCACATTTATTTAATTGCCATTTAACATATCCTTTCACTGAGATTTTCCTTTGTAAAATATTGATTTGGGATATCAATAAAAAAATTCCTGGAGTCCCATAAAACGTTGAATATGAAATATTGTTTTAGAATTGTAAGTTTTCTCGATCTTGAGTTTAACATTCTTTTGCAATGTTTATAGATTCTCTCTGCATTTTCAATCCTCAAATTCGAACCAATTAAGGAAATCTACACATTTTTAGGGACAATGAAAAAACAACTTAAATAGTAGTTTTTAATAATTATTCAATGTAATAATCATCGGAATTGCTTAAATTACTTTGTATAAAAGTTTACAGAATATTTTTTCAATCTATTTATTCTTGTATCAATAGTGAAAAAATTAATACCTAAAAAAAATAACTTTTAAAATTTAATTTTATTTTAAAAAAATCATAACTAAAGCTGTGCTTAACTACTTTAGAAAAAGTTGATAGTTGTTAACTTTTTAGACTAAGTTAAATTTTGCTACCTATTTTGATTTAAAATTACATAAAATTAGTTTTGAAAATAGAGATCTAACATTACAAGATCATATGTGAGTAATCTAGTGGAAGATCTTATTAGTCCCATTTATGTTCTTCATGTTAACTTATGCTCTGTATTTTTTACTAACAATGAAATATTTCTATTATCGAAGTTAGTGTCAAATATTGATAGACAATTTATGATAGGCAGTAAACATAATGTAGCATTTAGAGTGTTGGTTCTATCTCTTATACTATTGTAGCTTATAGGCCATTAAAGTAGTAATATATCATCTATTATTTATGTATGTATTAATGAAGCACGTTCTGTGCAACATTTTCTTATGCAACTTTGAAAACATTTTTCTCAAAAGCACACTTTGTAAAGTATCACTCATAGTTTCTTAAGTTTTGCTGAACGAATTATATTCTTCTTTAGTGTAAATATGTTGCTAATTACGCTATACCATGAATAGAAATAATAAAATTTACTTTCAAATTTTTGTGATCATATCCAAGCATTTTTTTTTAAAAATAACTTATTAAATTTTAATTTTTTTCTCTTTTTAAATTAAAAAATTGTAAAAAAAAAATTTTTATTAATAAATTTGGTTATTAAAAAGAATTGTAATGTACTCTGAAATATTCTTAATTAAATGTACATATTTTCAAAATAATTTTTTTATTCAATATTTGTCCATAAAAGGAGACTTCAAAATAGATTGGATTTTGTTTTCTTTAGATAAATACAGGCTCCAAGCATTATCATGAGTATTTAATTTTGAAGTTGGAGCAGTGTGGCTGCATCCTGCTCTTAGAGATTTAAAATTTATTTGGGTATATTAACTTCAGTACAGCATAAATGTTTATAACTAAAATTATTTTTCTTTTCAAAATACTGTATGCATTTATTTTAACCCTCATCTAGAACTATGGTTAAATGTTTATTTTGTTGTTAATGATACATCAATTATTTAGGTAACTATGGTTAAAGTGCAAGAATGTTTAGTTTATAAAACATGCAGTGAATGCCTAGAAGCCCAAGATCCTTATTGTGGTTGGTGTTCTTTGGAAAACAAGTAAGAAATATTTTTTTCTTAGCATTTTTGAAAAAAAGCAACATATATTCAAATACAAAAATCATTTTAGTCTGATATCTAATTTTTTATTTTTTTTATTTTTACATTTTAAAATCTTTTCTATTTTTCTTATTATAAAAAACATCCTGTATAGTTAACAATACTCCAAAAAGAACTTTTAATACAAATTGGGAAAAAAAATTATTTTTTTTTTGTTCCAATTACTTTTTAAATCCTAAAATAAAATATAATACTGCTTCAGAACTGTGAAGCTGTTTTATTTATGCAAGAAATTCTTATTATCTACTTTTTTTCAACTTAAGTGTCTCACTGTGTATGCTATTCAGTAGAAAAAGAGCTGTTGTTAATATTGGATTACTCTTTAAATTCTAAAATGAAATACAATTGCTTCAGAACTGTGAGGTTGTTTTAGTTTTACAAGAAACTGTTATCAACTTTTTTTACATAAGTTTCTCACTGTGTATGAAAAAGAACTGTTGGTATTGCAATCAATGATCTACTAAAATTTTGATATTTTCTAAAACCATTCAGTGTTGGACCACTGCTTCAAATTGAAAAAAACCCTGAACGTGAATTGCTTTATTCACTTTATTACTTTTTTTTCCACCAAAAAATGGGCTTGTGGTAAAATACATTACCAATTTTTATAAATTTTTTTTATTAATTCTGGTAATGTCAGAGCCATTGAAAAAATCCAAGCATTTGTTTTCTTTCTTTTAATACTATTAAACTCTTTTTTTTTTGTTAATTTATTTCATTTTATTTTCATTTTGTCATTTATTTCCCAACGTCATTTCTTTTAATATTATAAGCATTAATATTTTGTAAAAAAATTTGCTGAGCTAAATGTTTCTTAATACTTAATAAATTCATTTTTATGACATTTATACTATTGATAGATAACTAAGATTATGTTCTTTATGTATGTGTTGATGTAAAGTCTTTCAAAGATTTTGACCAAACAATAAACAATTTTCAAAGATAAACAATTTGCATAAGACCAGATAATCATATAGTGAAACTTTTAAATTATGACAAAATTAAACAAATTCTATTTTCTTAATTGTTATTTAATTAACACCTACACATAGAGAGCTAGAACTTTAGGTTGTAAATAAGAGTTGTGACGCACAAATGAGAAAACAGCACAAGTGCTTCATGATAGAATTCGAGAAAAGTTACTTGACAATTATTTTCTTGCTGATACAATCAATGCCAAAATAGAATTTCATATAACTGATAAAAGAAATTGATTTTTGAAAATAAATATTTTTTTGCAATATGTTGCTTATTACGCAAAAATGCTAAATATATAAAAATCTCAATTTTGCTGCTTTCAGTGTTTCCTCTCTTGCACAGCCGTTAACATCTATTGAAGCCTATATGCATAAAATAAAAAAAAATTTCAAATGTTTTTTGGTAAAATGTAGATTTAGTTTTTTTTTAAAAAACTTTTTTATTATAAATGTATTCTAACAATTAAGCTACAAGCAAATGATAAACGTTATGTAAGTCTTAATTTCTTGTTATTTAAGTTGTTTTTGTATTTTAGGTGTAGTTTAAGAAGTGATTGTGCTGAAGCTGCCCAAGATCCTTTATATTGGTTATCTTATAAAAGTGGAAAGTGCACAACCATTACAAGTGTTCACCCACCTCAGATACAGAGAACAACTGCCAGAATTGTAAGTATTAAACATGCATATTATTAGATATGTTTGTTAATTTTATGAAAAATAAAAAAAACATTTTAGAAAACTTGCTAAGAACAATGTTTTCAAATTTATTTTATTTAAGAAAACTCGAATTTCCCTAATGGGTCTTAAAGTCAGTTTTTATTAAGGATTTCTTATCATATAATTAAAATATTTAATGAATTATTTTACTACCTTAAAATAACCTTTGAAGTTAACTTTATGAATTGACATATTAATCTTCGGTGTTAATTGAACTGCTTTTCTATAGAATAATAAATATATACAAGAAGGGAAACTGACCTTATCCCAAATTTAATGCAGGTTTAAAAGGTTAAAAGAAAATTTCAACTACATTTGTAACTAAATTTTTCTAAATACAATAAGCTTAAGTTTAAATACATAAATAAGTTTTGTAAGCTTAAGTTTAGTTATGATTTATTTTAGTTTATTTTTTATGTAAAAACATTTTGCTATTTCACAAACTTCAGTTTAACAACTTTCCTTTAATTTCATTTGCAATTTCACTTATATTAATATTTAAAATTTAATTAAAAAACTTTGAAACTTAAGTAAAATATTTTTCAATATGGTATAGCAAAATGTAGTTTGGTATATTTAAGGAAAATTCATGAGAATTTAAAAACAAATGCTAAAGAATTTTTGTACTGTTTATTAAATAATCTTAGTTATTTTATATACCGGAATATTATATCAGTATTTAATAAAAAGGTTCATTCGTAATTTCTGAAAACAGACACTCAATTTTTAAGACCCATGAACCCAACAGCCACTGCTTTAAACAGTGATGATATTTACACAATATCATCCCACATTCATTCTTGGCATACTTACCCTATTTTTCAACAACTAAAAATGATTAACTCTACTAGAGTTATTGTTTTATCCAATCAAAATTGTTTAAAATTTTTTCAGCTACTTATTTCTCATTGAATAAATAACATTGAGAGAAACAGATTTATATTGCAGTAAAGAAACAATTAAGTTTGGGAAAAACTAGAACTGAGGTGTTAATGAATATTTAACAAAATATTTTTTCACTTTATTATATAACGTAAATGTTAATAATTTTTTGTGGTTGTTGAAAATTTTAATAAAATTCATATTCAATAAAAAAAAAATTATTTTCTAGCTAAATTTAGTAATTGACAACTTACCAGTCTTGGAAGGGCAGTTTTTCTGTGCTTTCACTGCTCTTGGAAAAACTTTGGTTACAAATGCATCTCGTTCAGCAAATGGCGTCAGCTGTGCTACTCCTCATACAGATTCTCTACCTCCAATACCACCCACTCAACGTAAGTAAAAGAAAAAGGTATTTTTTTCATTCTGTACTCCATCTTATAATGTACTTATGTTCTATATTTTAATTTCTAACTCTATCAATGTTATTCTTTTCAAGTTTATGAACTTAGGAAAAAAGCTTTAAAACCAACATAATAATCAAAAGTAAAATAGTTAGAAATATACAGCAGTTTCAATATTTCTAATAAGCAATTATATTAGTAAAAAAAAATAAATAAATGTAAAATTAAATCAAAATGTTTGGACAGAACCACTCATGAAAGAAAAATTAATGTTTTTGGTAGCTTGGTTTTATTGAGTATTTTACATACCTGTATATTTGTTATAAATGAGTAAACAGAGTTCTCTTAAAATTTTATATAGTACTAGTTAAACTGTTGAAATGTTTATTTAAAATAAATCTGTGTTTTTAGATTTTAACTTTTATTTGAAGTTTTTAATTAAATTATATCTTTGTTTTGAAAAATTGAATAATTTTCAATTTCTTTTTTTGTCCTCTTTAAAAATACTTTGTAAAATTAAAATATTTTGCTAATAATTTTGACATTTTCTATACATTTTAAAAAATGGTAACATTTTGTAATTGTAAACTTTTTTTTTTAGCATGATGTTAATAACAACATTTAGTTTGAGTTTTTTAGGGACACGAGATGTTTAACAAGGCTGTTTTAATTTCTTTTTGCACAAAGATAATAACTTATATTTCTTTTTTAAAACAAATTATTTTATACTATTTATAAAAATTAATCAACATTTCAAATTTATTTATTTTTATATTGCTAATTTCAAGTGAAGAACAAATTTTAGATTCAATTTTAGGCATAATTTAAAATTTTCTTCTTTACTTTATGTTAACATCACAAAATTGAAATAGATATTATTTTACAGATCATTTTACTGCAAAGTTATCAGTTCGGATGAAAATTGGACCAGACTTTGTTGCTACAAATTTTACATTTTATGACTGCAGCACTTATACATCGTAAGTGCAACTTGTTAGGTTTTACTTACTTAATTTATGCATTTAACTTATTTTAAAATTCTATTTTATAGCAAATCTTATTGAAATTTGTTTTTAATTAGCACGTAACATTTTGATTTATTTATATATTTTTGTTTTATTTATTTATTTCTGTTTTATTTATATATTTCTGTTTTATTTATATATTTTTGTTTTATTTATATATTTCTGCTTTATTTATATATTTCTGTTTTATTAATCTCATTCTTATTATTAAGTTAACTAAATATCCTAAAGCCACTCTTATATATATTATTTCTATTTCAATGATTAAATATTTTTCTTCACATACTAAATGTTTTATTTCTGCTCAAAAGATATTCAAATCAAATAATGTTTTAAAAGTGTATTAGTTATGCTATTTTAATCTGCATTCAAAATGCTAGATTTTATTCCAGATGCACCCAATGTGTTTCCAGTCCTTTTCCATGTGATTGGTGTGTTGGTGGTCATCGTTGTACTCATGACACGGGAGAAAACTGTCGTAATGATATATTAGTGACTGGAATTTCTGTAAGATTTAACAATTTGTATTCCTTATAATCTTAATAAATTTTATTCATGCATTATTATTAGAAATGAAAGAATTTTTTTGTTTATATTTTTATTTTAATTATGTAATTTACAATTGTGATTTCTATTTTCATTTATTTCTTTTTTAACATTTTCACAGAGTATTGGACCCAGTATTAGATCTGGACCTGGTTTTTGTCCCAGAATTAACACAACTACTGGTGGTTCAATTGAAATTTTAGTACCATCCGGCATAAGCAAGCGGATACAAGTAAAAGTTGATAATATTCAGGTTAGTTTCTTTAAATCAATACTTTTTTTTGTACTGATTATTACATAATACTTGAAAACAATGTTTTGAAATTAAAGAAAAAGTTTTTTTTATATTTTAGTATAAAATAGCTGTTTTGGGATTTATCATTAAAAAAAGAAAAAAAACAACAAAAAAAAACACTTAAACAGATCAAAGCATTATTCTATAATAAACCTATATAATAAAAACATTTTTGGAGCTTTTGGAAATTATTTATTAAAAGTTGAATTTTTATTTGTTTCAATTAGCATAAGAAATCAATAATTTAGGGTAGGTTTTAAATTTTTTCTGCAGATTTTAAATTTTTTTGAAAATTTAATAATTTTTGTTATAAGTAATTATTTTTGTGTTTATGAACTTAACACATATCTCACATTTTATTTTTTAAACAGCCTATTATTGCTTCAACAAGATTTGTATGTCAATTCAACATTGAAGGCAGAGTTAGGCAGGTCCATGCTCAACTTCTAGGTGATACTATATATTGTGAGCCAATGGGAGTAAGTATTAAAATATATGATATGACCATTTGACTTTTTATAGGAAAGATATCCTTTTCCTAACTATATTCTTTATTTAATTTTTTGCTCAGTTTACATATGGAACTCAAGCTCCAAATATTACTACTGCTTTTGCTGTGATATGGGATGGTAGTAAACCCTTAGACAATCCTGAAAATATTCATGGTAATTATATAAATTTTAAATCTATATAAGTTGTGAAATTTTACAAAAAATAATATTTTTTACCTTTTATAAAAAAAATTTAAAACAACCAATTCTTTGCTTTAATATATTATTTTATTTCTTAATATATATTCATTTAAAGTTAATTTAAAACCTAAGAAGAGCCTTAAATTCATTGTTGAAAATATTAGTTAAATAAGATCATATATTTGCTTAGTAATAAAAGCTTTCACCCTAATAATTTTTAGCTTAATTTAGGAATTTTAATGCAGTTTTTAATAATAAATATCTGTGACTATCATTGGTTCTTTTTTCATCTTATTTTATTACCTATTTATTAAACCGTGAATTTATGTATGATGCCTCTAGTAGTGATGTATAGTACAATAACCTGAAAGCATCATAATGTATTACAATATTAATATATAACATTAATTTTTTTTTAAAAATCAGTTGTAATAAGTTTGAATTAAATTATATAATATGAAATATCTTTTTTTCTAAAAAGTATAATCCATGAGTAATGAAAAATAAGAAAAAGGAGCAATGGTATTAAAAAATAAATTAATTATATATTTTATGCATGCACAGCTTAGAAACTTTTTAATTAGCATCTTAACTTTTAATTGCCAGTGCATAATATCTGTTGTAATTTATCATTAAAACATCTTTAATTTCCTGTTATTTAATCATCAATTCTTTAAAAACATTTTTTAAATCAAATAACATCATATTTGTTTCATTAGTGTTGGTATATCGCTGTCAAGGAATGGCACAGAATTGTGGTATTTGTCTAGAGCTTCCAGATAAATATGCCTGTGGTTGGTGTCAGGATCCACCATCATCATGTCAAGTTCATGAACAATGTAGTTCAGATCCAACTCAATGGCTTGACCATAGTCAAACATGTCCAGACCCAAAAATTACGCGGGTAAGCATGCTTTTGATGTTTAATTTTACAGGGTAAAATACCAATAGTGTATTTCATTTTATACCCAAGCAGCATTTAAAGATATTTCTATCATAACATACTGTTGATTTCTTTTTCATTGAAAATTGCATTGATATTTTTTACTGTCCTTGATGAATTTTTTTTTATAATTAACGGAAATATCAAGATTTTTTTTAGTGTTTTTAACATTCAGACGAATATTTGCAATAGATTTAGGCTCAATTCCTCTGAAACAGTATTTTATTGTACAGTACAGAATCCGTTATCCGGAAATCAGAAAACCGGAAAACCAAAAAACCGAAACGAAATTCGATAAATTTTCCCGCCATTTTTAAAAAAAAAATTTTTTTTTCCTCATAAGGTTTTAGGATTTTTCTTTCTTTTTTGAAAGATGTTCACCTTACCATCATTTTGGAAATAATCATTAGTGTATTACTTCATCGGTTTTTCTTCTTTTTAAGATTATTTCCAAAAAACATTATTTTATTTAGTTGGGTTTAACAATTAAAAAACTGCTTTTTGTAGCGATTCAGAAAACCGGAAAAATCAGTTATCCGGAATAGCGATGGTCCCGATCATTCCGGATAATCGGTTCCCTACTGTATTAGTAAAGTTTGGCATAAAAATTCACCATACATATACATTTTCACTTAGTCTTTTTCATAGCTTTGCAGTCTACATTTCATAGTTCAGTGACCAGGCATTTTATTTCTTTTCATGATTTTTTAGTTTTTTGATTATTTTTATATAATATCAAATAGTGTAGTTTAAAAATTAACTCATTATGATGAATTTAATTTTTATTTATTATTTTTTTTCCAGTTTTTTCCTGAGTCTGGTCCTTGGGAAGGTGGCACAAACATAACAATCGAAGGTATCAACTTAGGTCGAGTATTTGAAGATGTTGCTGGTGGTGTTAAAGTAGTTTATGATGCTGATGGACGTACCATTGCTGAATGTTTACCACACAAAGAAAATTATCGGAAAACTAGTCAGTAAGTATACCTTATTCTGGAACATGATTTAAAAATCATTTTGTGTATTTTTTTTTCTTGTGCAATAATTCCACAAAATCTGTTTATGTATTACTCAAATTTAATATTTTATGATTTGACATAGTATAACGAAAACTTAATTTCTATTTAGCATAATTATTGTTGCTGTTAAGTGTACTAAAAAGATTTTAAGTTATAAATCTATGTTGAAACTAAGTTTCGATATTTAATAAATTTTTTTTTTTCTTAACTACTTTTTAGGATTGTTTGTCAAGTTGAAAGTCCACGAAATTTGACTACTGGTCTTGGTAGAGGATCTATTGCTGGCCCAATTGTGGTAAAAGTTCAAAATGATTACATAGCTCGCTCCAAAAAGCAATATTCATTTGTCGTAAGTATTATCTATTAATGCTGGATTTTTTCATTATTAAAAGCTATTCAGTCTAAGACAGCAATGCAAATAATTTTAATGAAATAATTTAAATTTTTAACTATTATATATATATTTTTTAGTTTGTATTTAAAATTTTTGCTCTTGATTAAACAATTTTGTAAATTATTATATTATTAATGTATAAAGGTGAAAAATTTTATTTAATGAACAGCACTATTATATTTTTTTAAAAGGTACTTTTTTTAGTAATATTGAAACAGACTGCACAGTAAAAGCATAAGTTAATTAACTAATAATTTTAAATTTCTTTACACCAGCATGCAAAAGTCTTTGCCCAAGAGTAAAATTAGTCATTAATGAATCAGCTTCAGTAAAAAATGAGATAAACGTTTTTTGTAATGTTTCATATCATTTCAACAATTTGTATATGTAAAATCCCACTATTTAATGTAGAAAAGTTATTGCCCTTATGTTGCTCCTACAGATATGACCCTAAGTTTTTTTTAAAATTACAATTGGTGCTTTTCAAGACAAATATTAATAAATTTATCTAAACATTTTCTTCACCTGGGGAAAGAATTCTTGAATGACAACAAACAAATTATCATAAAATTTCCATTAATTTAATTTTTTGGTATATGCTTATATTTCTATATCTAAATTCCTGTGTTTTTTCTAGAATCCAAGAATAACTTCAGTTGAACCAAGTAAAGGACCCAAATCTGGAGGAACTCGCCTGCGGATATGGGGCTTGCACATGGATGCAGGGAGCAGAGCTGAAGCTTTTGTTGATGGCTTAGAATGTAAAGTAGCTGGGTAAGTCCTTTTTTTTTCTGAGTGTAATTTGCCCCAGTTTCTTTTAACCCTACATTCATAAACATTTGCCTAGCTCTCTAGAAAGGTATTTAGGAGCTCATCTTTCTATCTCTTTCACTTTAAAAGTTACAAGTATTAACGTGTTTTGCATAATCTGTAAGACGAATGTTAATAAATCTAAGGTTAAACAAGCCAACATATATGTGGCACCTTCTGTCTGCTTTTATAAATCTGTCTCCATTAGAGAAAATCTATTAATTTGATTAGAGTATTGAATGACAAGTAATTTCAAATTATGATACTTGTTATTTATACTTCTGATCTAGTTCTATTAACATTTTTTTATGATTGTAATTTTTTCTTTTATTTAGGAGAAGAAGAAATTGTGTGGAATGCACAACATCAGCTTCTACAGAAAAAGGACATGGGAAAGTGCGTGTCAAATTTGATAATGGTCTTCGTATCTTTGAAGATTATAATTTCCTTTACGTGGATGATCCAGTGATAATTCATGTAGAATCAGGGTCTGGTCAACGTGGAACACCTAAAGGCATTCCCAGGTGATCAATTATTCTAATAATCAATTTATATGGAATTTTTGTTTTCGCAATATTTACCTATTATTAAAAATAAAGACTTCCAGAGTTATAAATAAATTATTTATATCAGAATATTTTTAAAAAATGTTTATTAATACTGTTATTGCCAGCATTTCTCAAGCTTTATTTTACTTGTATTCCATGTTCTATTTCATATTTCCACAGACATCTCATCCTAATTAGATAAATTACTAATACCTGCATACATATTGTGCTAGAATAGTATTATTTACTTGCATTCTTGTTATTAGCATTCATATTTTTAAGAAATTGTTATTTAAAGTGAAGATAAAATAACATTAGCTTTTACAGGGGTGCTCAAATTAATATTTAAGCAAAGAGAAAAAAGACTTAACTAATTTATTGTGATGGCAAGATCAAAAGCATATAAATTAGTTTATTTTTTGAATGAAAATAATTTTTAGCCTTAATGAGGACTGGTTTTGATAGTCTTAAGTCCACTTTCGCTATAATTTGTCAGATTTTAATTATATTTTTACCCACTTGTAAATTCTTTACAACTTTTAGTTTGTATAATTTCATACTTTGCCGCTAACAAGGATTCTTAAAATATATATTAATGATGATGATCACTAAACACTAAATTTATTTTAACCATTTTTATTCTAGACAGAGAGAAGTTTTGCATTCCAAGTTACTATGCTTATGTTAAATTTTGCTGATTTAAGATGAATTAAATTTTTAAGTTACGCTTGTTCTCCTAATTTACAACATTAGTTAGTCAGTTAAACTAATTCGATGTTTTATTAAAAATTTTAAATTATCTTTTAACCAATGTCTTTTTATCAATTTATAACAATAAATATTTCTGTTATAAGTTGATAATCTCGTTATCAAATAAGTATTTTTAATAGCTTAAAATGAAAACATATGCTTTTTGTAATAAAACTATTATAAATATATATTTTTTTCCCTTTAGTGGAGGCATTAGTATTACAGTTCATGGTACGAACCTAAATGCTGTACAAGAGCCTATGATGTATGTTTTAGTGGATAATCAAGAATACACTAGTGTAAGAATCACCTTTTATTAATTTTTTTCTCTGGTATTAATTAAGATGTCTTCATAATACACGTGTAATTCTGTTGATAAATTTAATAAATTTTTTAGGCTTGTAAAGCTGAATCAGCTTCTGAAATGAAATGTAGAAGTCCTGCTGTACCACCATCTAAATTGGATTTCTCTGGAGATGAAGCAATTGAACTTGACTTTGGATTTCTAATGGATAATGTTGAAAGAGTTAAAAATTTAAGTGAAAAACCAGGGTTTCCAAAATTTTACATGTATCCAGATCCACTTTATTATAAATTTACTGAAGAAAACAACATCAAATACTACAAGAGTGACTATCTAACTATCAATGTAATTGAAAATTTTCTTTTTAAGTTAAATTTGACTGTAAATCTTATTTTTCTAGTGTGATATTGACAATTGGTTGATTCATTCATATTACTAACAAGTTTTGAAAATTTTAATTATGCTAGTTAATTGATTGAATTTTTCATAAATTGCTTTCAATTCGCTATTAAAGTTAGAGAAAAAACTTTTTTTTTTATTTATTTTCATAATTTGATTTCAATTTACTGATAATAAATATTTTTTAAGTTCGTACATAAATTTTTTATTGAAATAAAAAAAAATTGAGAAATTATTTATTAAATTTTTTTAAATTTGATATTAAGAATTTAGAAAATTCATTTACATTTATTTATTAATTGATATTGACTTATTTTTTAACAATTAAAAAAATTATTAAAAATAAACTGTGTTTATTTTTTTAAAAGGGTCAAAATTTGGACAGAGCATCACAGGAATCTGATGTAATTGTGCGTATTGGAACTAGTTTCTGTAATGTTACGTCACTTTCTCGTTCTCAGTTGACTTGTCGTCCTCCAACTTCTCAACCTTTTGCACGTGATATTGCTGGTTACCCTGTTCAAGGCCAATTGCCTGAAGTTGTGGTAAGATTTTGACGTCTGATTTAAATTCTTTTTTAGCATTCAGTAATAGGAAATTGTTCTTGTGTGTTGTGCACTGTACTTTTTTTCCACATATATGTATAGTTTGTCTAAAGTTAGAACTCCCCTAGCCATTTGCCTGAACCCGTGGTGGTGACTATGGTAACGAGGTATAACTATTTCAAGTCGGGATGTGGGATCACTGTTTAGAACAGGTTTTGGTTCGGATCGTCGAGAGAAAGGGAGTCTTTTTCTTCTGTCTATTGTATTAACCCTGGAGTGAAGAGAAGCTACCCTCTCTGAAATGTACTATTCTTGTTTCCATAGCAGCAGACGGCCTAAGACTTTGTGGCGGGGGGGAGTTTGTCCCGTAGACAAACTATACAGTGTGTTTGGTAATAACTATCCTCAATATACATTTTTAAAATCTTTGTAAAAATGAAGCCCTAAATTATGCACATTAAGAATGGCGTAGTAATATTTAAATGACGAAGTGCAAAATGCTATTAAAAATTAATGTGTTACTAGAAAGACGGGGCAACAAATTTCCATAGCTGTTTGATTGCCAGATGAAAAACAGAATAATTTGCAATTGTCATTTATTTTCTCTACTTGTTTTCTCTGGCAATCAAATAGGTTTTGATGTTACTAGATCATCCTCCCTCAGATCTTATTCTCTAGATTTTGATAGACTTTTGCTTTTTCTTTGCCAGAATATTAATTTACGATCTCTTCTAAGCATATTTCTTTCACTTGATTTTTGACAAGTATTCTAAAATTTTTCATAAAGCTTTTTTTTAAAATTCTAACTGTGATAAATTTTTCTGAACGAGTATTACGAGTATTTTTCTGAATTTTAATAAGTGTAAGTTTTATTCTAGGTTGAAGTTGGTGACATCCTAAAATTTCCTATTGGAAAACTTAGTTATGAATTACCGTCTTCTCATGATAGTGCCTTATCAAAACCAGTTATCATCGGAGTCATTGTTGGAGGTTGTATTCTTGTCATTATCGTCATCATTATTTTGATTGCCTACCGTCAAAAATCCACTGAGAGCTCCAGAGTCTTAAAAAATATGCAGGAGCAAATGGATGTTTTAGAGTTACGAGTAGCAAGCGAGTGCAAAGAAGGTAAGTTATTCTCATTAATTTTACAATTCTAGCTTTCAGATTATGAAACTTATTTGCTATTTTATTAATAACAGAATTCATTTCATAGATCTGGGAGATTACTAATTAATATACTCAAATAGTGTTTTATTTTCTTTCAAATTAATGTTTAAAAAAATTCAATTTGTTAAAATATTATTTAATTTATAAATGTTTATTTTATCAAACCTCCTACTACCTCAATGAAAGTTTTATGTTCTGAATTTAAGCAAAAATAGGAATTTATCATAGATTTTCCGCAAAAATCGTTTGATATAATATATTGCTAGTCAAACAGTATGAAAAATCCTTTTTTGTGCTTTGTTTTAAACTATCTTGGAATTTTTTTTTTTTATTAAAAAGAAAAGAATTTGTATGAATTTTTTTAACTATTTTCTTTACCTTTTACTATTTTTATTTACTATAATAATTGGTCACATTATAATAAATACGATCCAAAATGCTAAAAATATTTTTTAATTATAAATAAAACTTTTCATGATTGTATGTGAAATAAGAAAATCAAAGTTATTCATCCTTTCTTTTGTTCAAAATTTTTAAACCTTTAATATTTTATTTTAGCTTTTGCTGAGTTGCAAACAGAAATGACAGATCTAACTAGTGATTTAACAGCTGGTGGAATACCATTTTTGGATTATCAATCATATGCCATGAAAGTATTATTTCCGAATTCAGATGACCATCCTGTACTCAGGGAAATGCAGGTAAATATATTTTATTGTTTAAGTATTAATGTATTTGATATTAGAAGCATAAAATTGTAATTATATCAAATGAGCTCTATCTATATTGAATCATATTTTAACGAAAACTCTCGCTCTCTGCACCATCATGAATTAAATTATGTGTAAAATTTTCATATTGTTGATTCTCAGAAAATCTAAAATGAGCAACAATATAACCTAATGAGCTCATGTAATATGTATTATGTATTATTATGTATGTATCATGTAATATGTATTATTATTGTAGCTTAAATGAAAACTATTTGGAACATATGAAGTTGGAGTTTTTATATAGTAAAAACATTATCTTTTCTAGCTTATCTCTGATGAGGTGATAAAATTTTTTATTGATAATTTTTTTGAAATTGGTTTAATAAATTTAAAAAAAAAAAAATCAAGGCTTGTATTTCCATGTTGCCATTATGACTCAACTTCTTGCTAAAAACAATTTTATGCCCCCTGTAGCAATCAAAACTTTTGTTGCACATTTCTTATTAAGAAATGTATATAATTTGTAATATGATTTTATTTATTAATTTATATTTGCTGTTTGTTACTATTTATATGCTTCTTGACACACAAATTACTATTATTTATAAATAGTTATAATATCCTATTACACTAAAATGTGCAATTTGTAATAGATGCTTGAAGTTTATTACAGTTGAGGAAATTGTAGACAATTTGTAAAATTAGTAATTTAAATTAAGGCTTTGCACTGCTTATAATTTTCTAGTTTTGAAATTATGTAGCATTTTTTTTTTCAAATAATATTTTTTGCTCTTGGAAGCTATTTTGTGCAAGTAACATTTATTTTATGCAAAAAAAGAAAAAATAATAAAAATAAAAAAATATTCAATTGCAAATAAAATTATTTTGCATTTTTAACAAAATTTTTATTTCATCATACCTATATTATTGTAAAAAAAGTCAATCTCTATAATATAATTATGTGTGTAAATAATAGGTGCTAATTATAAAAGAGGGAGGTATTGTAACTATTTTAGATTTTTTATAAAAGTTTTGAATTATTTTTTCCATAAATATTTTTAATGTATATATATATATATATTAATTTAATGTTTATTAACCTACTGGATTGCTTGATCTTTTCATACCAGTTAAAAAAAAAGTATTGAAAACTGGTTCACCTTAGTTATTGGTATGATTATAGATATTACCTATAGTAAAATAAAATCAAGCATTTTTTTGTTTTTCTGATCAATGTACAGTCATTTGAAACTTAAAATAAGCATTCAGATTTTTCCATACGTTTATTGAAAAGCAGTGGAATGTCTAATTTTTAGTTTTTCTTTTTTATTTGAAGTAAGATGTGATGTGCAGAAATCTATGTACTAAATAAATTTCACAAATATAATGCTTAATTCCAGCTTGATCCATTGAAGAAACCTTATATCGAAAAAGGATTGAGATTATATGGCCAGCTTATCATGAATAAAATTTTCTTACTACTTTTCATAAGAACTTTGGAATCGAATCGTTATTTCTCTATGAGAGACAGGTAAGATAGTATTTAATTAATCATTATTACTTTCTTTAAATATTTTGCAAAATCTTTTTTAATTACAATCAATCTTTTTTTTTTTCTTTATAACAAGTTTAACTTAACAAATTAGTTTTATCTTTTCTGGAAATAATTTCAAATAATGATAGAATCTATGTGGGATTATTATTAATAAAATCATATGAAGTTCCATTTCTTAATTTAATACCAAGAAAGAGTTATTATTTCAAGGGAACCTGATCATATGAATTTCCAATTGATAAAGTGGTATAATTCTCTATTTCTGAGCACATTTTCTTATTGCTTAATGCACATATCCAAAGTGAAAAACTACAATTGGCAATTATATTTATCAAAATCGGCTTAAATTTAGAATTTTTTTTATAATATTTCAACCTTCAAAACAGATAGGTGTGGTTTTCAAAATTTTATTTCTGTGGTATGTCTTATGACATATTTAACTTATCCTGTTTTTTCTTTTCCGGATATTTTTTCCGTATTTTGAATTTTTATTCTTCTCAAACTTCACTTGTGTTACATAAACATAAGGAATTTATCATTTCCACCGCATTATGATGCATGTGTTCTTTCTTTAGTGGAGAAAATTTAAGGGAAGATTTAAAAATGGCTTAGGGTAATACAAAAGGTTCTATATTTAGAACAGAATGTTAAATTTTAAACAAAGTAAAAAGAGAAAATATAATGATGGAAGGATAACTTTTCTATTCATCACTGTATTAATTAAAAGAAAAATATATCCAACTCATTTATGAATAATTTTGAAAAAAAGTATGTGATACTGCTCGGTTTTGTTTCAACTGGTTAAAGTACAATTTCAACAAATGTCTTTACATCCATATTAAAATAAGTAAGATTAAACATAATAATTCATTGTCTTTTAAGTGCACATAAATTTGAATAACTCTAATTTAATATTTACTGATTTTAAAATGATAAAATATTTAAATCAGAAATGCATAATCTCCTTTGGACAGTGAACCGCAAAAACAAATCAATACTTCAGGTGTATGTAAAGCTGTAATTATAAAAGTGTATGGTGTATTTATGCAAAAGTAAACTATATGACTCACACATGCATAATTTTGTGTTCATTTAAGTGCAATTATTGAAAATAAAAAGTAAATAAATAAGAGTTTTTAATGTTTTAAATATATCAAATATAGATATAAAATTACTTAGCATTCTATATATTTATGATTTAACTGTATTTATTTTAACTAAATTGAAATATATTTTCTAAATTTTCGTTTTTATAGTTTAACAATATTCTTTTAAAAAATTAATATATTGTGAAAAAATATTTTTAAATATATAAAAGCAAAACAACTTGTAATTGTAACATATTACAGAATATTACAAATTAACTTATAACAGTATATATCAAATTTAGAAAATACAAGAACAGTAAAATTTATTTATAATTTGCAACTTTGTAGTATATATGAAAAACATTCTTTAAAAAAATTAAATTGCATTTTCAGCATGTTTAAGTTTATTAAAAATGCTCTCAGATATTATAAACTTAAAAGTTTCTCTTTATTTATAATTTTAATTTATTTTTCAGAGTCAATGTTGCTTCATTAATAATGGTAACTTTACAAGGAAAAATGGAATATTGCACAGAGTATGTATTAATATAATTAGTGAACTTAATTTTGTTATGAATTTTATACAAATATTACTTTACAGTTTGAGAATATTAGGAATTAATGCAGTTTTATGGTTAGTAATTTAATCCTCTTTGTTACAGTATTCTGAAAACTTTGTTAGCCGAATTAATTGAAAAATGCATTGAGGGCAAAAGTCATCCAAAGTTATTATTACGAAGGTAAATTCTTGTTCATAATTTTTGATTCTGTAATTTTCCTGTCACTTTTAATTTTAATTTTCGTGTCAATTTTAAATTGTTTAAAATTGAATTATTCCTTTTCAGAACTGAGTCTGTAGCAGAGAAAATGCTTTCTTCATGGTTTACTTTTCTACTATATAAATTTTTACGAGTAAGTAAATGTCCTTTTGAAATATAGTGTGACAAAGATGTAATTTTTTTATGAATTAAAACAATTTATTTTTATTTTAGGAATGTGCAGGTGATCCACTTTTTATGCTATATCGTGCAATAAAACAGCAAGTTGATAAGGGACCAGTTGATGCCATAACTAGTGAAGCAAGATACTCATTGTCTGAAGAAAAACTAATTAGACAGTCTATTGAATATAAAAGCATGGTTTGTAGAAGTTTTGTTAATTATTAGAGCTATTCTGCAATCCTCAGTTAGAAAGCAATATCTTGACTGCCTTCTAAGGTAGTATATGATAGTGATTCATGTTAAATATTTAGAGGCTCTACATTTCACACCATGCCTAAATTATCAATATAATGAAAGTATTTAGTTCCCATAAGGCTCAGTGTATGAAAATGTAATGTACACATCAAAAGTTTTGATATTTATGTTTTTGAATAATATTAGTGTGCAAGCAGGAACTTTCCAACAGGAAAAAAACTCACCCCTCTATCTATTAAATTGATATTCAGTAAATTCAAAGAAACTTATACTTAAAAATTTGAAATCTGTTACAAAATTATGTTTTTATAGTTCATCACAACGTATTATTTAAGTTTTTAAATTAGTTTCAAAATTGCCTTAAGGAATAGTGTTGCAGAATAAAAAAATCATTCCTGAACTTACACCACGTACTAATACCACAATTTACTTTGTTTTAAGAACTCACAATTTTTCTTACATATTTTTTTTTCTTTATAGAATATGGGACTTTGTTTGCCGGACATTTATTTTTCCATGTCGCAGATATAAAAATAAACTTTTTTGTTGTTAACCAATAAGTTTTGCTTAGAAGATACACTTGAAATCCTAAGCATTAACACCTTCACATTTTTTTAAGGTTCATTTAAAAAGAACTGCCAAGTATTTTCATAAAAAATGAACTCTAAATAATAAATTTTTTAACATTCCTTTTCAATATGCTGTTTCAATTATGTGTTATTGCTTTTATTTTTCAAACCAACGTATAAATGATAATTTATGTGTGCTGTGATTCCTCCTTATTTCATGTACTATTTATTTTTAAAAAAAATGGTATATCTTACTTTTCAGACTGTTTATGTGTCTATGTCAATTCAGACACAGTATGTTGCGGGTCAAGAACCACCTGGAGAAAATATAGAAACTCCTGTAAAAGTTTTAGACTGTGATACTATTTTACAAGTAAAAGAAAAAGCTTTAGATACTATTTATAAAAGTACTCCATTCACCCAAAGACCAAGCAAAGAAGACCTTGATCTAGGTAAAATATACATTTGCACATTTAGTATTTTTTTTTTATCCATGTGTTGGTACTTGTTCAGTAATGCAAACACTGAGAATATGCATATGAAATAAAAAGAAAGATATCCATAGTATAAATCTGATTGAAACGTATGTACTAAAGAAATTTTGCACTTATAAGCCAGTTTAAATAAGTGACAATTTTTTTAAAAAATATGTTGAAAAGCAAATTTACTGTACAACTTCTTAATGTGAAACAAGCTCTTTCATTTGGTTGTGGTACATTTCTGTAGGATTGGATACTGTTCAACTAAGGAGAGGGGAAAATAAACCATACCAAAATTTGTTGCTTGCATATTTCTAACCCTTTGGGTGTTAGTCCCGATTTTCCAAATTTTAAGCTGATTTACATTTATAAAGAATATGTTTTTTAACATAAAAAAAAGAATTTTAACATTAAAAAAAACATAAATTTTTTCATATTCATAATGTTTGGAGGATAGATTTTTGAAACCTAATAATAGGTTCATAAAACTTGACAGAAATATGGAAACTTAATTTTAACCGTGCAACTCAAAATATTCTTTAGTCTACTTTTAGCTTTCTTTTTTTTGGTACTGTGATCATTATCTATTGCTAATGTTGATCAGTATTTTTTAAATTGTGCTATTTTATCATTACATGCCTTTTTTTCTAACCAATTTCGATCCTAAGTTTTAAAAAAATCAAATAATTCTTCAGCTATTTTTTTTTTCATGTGTAGTAAAATGCAGACATCTTTTAAATATAAAATTACTTTACTCAAAATTAAAATATTTATATGAAGAATACTTAAAAAGATAAACTTCTGCCTAATTTTTCTAAGAGCACATAAACAGATTAAAATGTTTTGAAAAGCATCATTTCAAGACAAAATTACTTTGGTTGTCTGAAAGTATCAAAAACTAGTTACAAATATTCTAATAATTAAAAAGAAAAGAAAAAAAGAAACTTGCTTTGAAAAAATAGTTTTATGCTTAAGAAAAAGGTTTATCTTATACAAAATACATTGTCCTTTTTTATTCTTAGCCATCATACTATATTGCAAAACTTTATGGGTTACAATATTGCACCAATACAACAATTTATTTAACAATTACCTAATAGCATAAAACAAAATCTNAATTTTTTTTTTTTTTTTTTTTTTTTTTTTTTTTTTTTTTTTTTTTTTTTTGTAAAGCTTATAGTGCTAATTTAATTTCGTTCATGCAAATTTTTAAAAATTTATTTATTCTGAGCTTTGTATCATTAAATATTAGATAAGTGCTTTATTTTTGTTTAAAAAAAATAAAAAATATGAGAATTATTTGTTAGACAATTCCTTATCTTTAAAAATTGTTTTTCAGAGTGGAGGACTGGTACTACTGGTCGACTCACTTTGTCAGATGAAGATGCTACAACAAAGCAAGATGGCGAGTGGAAAAGGCTCAATTGTCTTGCTCATTATAAGGTAAGTTTAGTTATTCTTAAATTTTTTATCTTTCACAGATATATTATTCTTAGCTGATTTTGGGAAGAAAAAGTTGATAGCTGATACAAGTTTTATAAAATCAAGATGCTTTTCTGGATTTTAAATTGGAGACAAAGTTACCTTATTGATTCCTGTGTTGATGAGAGAATTGACTAAATACAACTAACAAAAATTAAACTTATAGGAAAACCATAATACATATAGGATATTAAAACCACATACATATTGAAATATGTTTATTCTATTTTATGAGCAAATTAGTTATTTATGTGTATAAATCAAAACCTTTTCAAATATTTATTACCAATTTTTCATCTGAAAAGCAATGTCCCAATTTATCAGGATAGAACAAGTTAAAGATTTTTAAAGGTATAGTTTTTTTCCATCTTTTTATGTTTGATTTTAGCTATTGAATATAGTAAAAATTGAAAAAAGTGAATGTAACTTCATTTCTAGCATTTTTTTAAAGTAATAATTTAATAATGATAAAATTTTAATTTTATTTAATACTCAGAATTCACCTATTTACATTTATGTTAAAATATGCACCTCTTGCATCTATTTTGAGTTGTATTCTAAATTTTAACTTGATTCGTTTAAAAAAACAGTTATTATTGAAAAACTGAACAATCGTAAAAGAGTAAATGTTTAAAAAACAGAAAATGGAGAGAAAAAAATTTCTTACGTTATTACAACTTTAAGGAAATGTTTGTCCAATTATATTATTCATGCCAATCTCTCTGAAACTTGTTACAACTGAATTGTTATCTTAGTTGTTTCTATGGAATAATAATGGTTAAATTTTTAGGTTCCAGATGGTGCTTTACTGACTCTGGTGCCTAAGCAATCGTCCATGTATAATCTTTCAATCATGACTGACAAGGTTGATAGACATAAATATGGTAAGAGAAATCGTGTTGTAGATTATAGTTTCTAAAAGAATACTTGGTAACAAATACAGTATAACTATTAGTGTTCCTTTTTGATCATGCATAGTAAGTAATTGCATAAAAGAAATGAAAATCCTTTGAACAAATTATTCGTTAAAATGATTTTCCGGAACAGGGCATATTCAATGTTAAAAAATATATTACACTAGGATGCTTCTGAAACCATTAAGAAACTGAAGAAAAAATTCAAGGTGGAATAAAGTAATAAACTTTATTAAAACCAATGCAAACTTTCATTTAAAGCCATCTTTTTTGTTACAAAATTTTTGTGAATAAAAAATAGATGGCTAATATTATAATATGACTGATGTTATATAATGTAATGACTAATATTATATGATGGCTAATATTATATTTATAATTTCAAAACAAATTACAAATCTATTGCAGAAATATCTTTGAAAAACATCAAATTTATCCTTTTTCTCCTAGTACAGTAACTAGTTTTTCAATCAAACCACTTATATTGCAATAATATAAAGCACTAAAAATGTTAAAATTTTCTTATTAAATACCACTTTTTTTATCAATCACTTTAAATTTTGAAGGAAAAAGGAGTTAGCGTAAGTTATTTTAAAAAAATGTATTTATGTTGTTTTTTCAGACTTTTATGCAAATTTCTTTCTTTAAAATTATGCAGATTGTATTTTTTGTACATTTGTTTTTCGCATTTTAACACTGGGCATTCTTTTTCATTCTAGAAACACTAAATTTTTCATTCAAGACCAGTCCCACTCTAAGTCGAGCCACCTCTCCTTTGAATCATGATCCGGAATCAGGCTATAAATATTGGCATTTGGTGAGAATTTTTAAATTTTGAAATTAAGGAAGTAATTCATTAATATGATTTATATATGTATTTTATAATAATGCTCATTTGTTCCAGGTGAAGCATCATGATGCTGAAACTAATAAAGAAGGGGAAAGGGGGAACAAAATGGTATCTGAAATATATTTGACTCGTCTTTTAGCCACAAAGGTAAATATATATTATTTTTTTTTGCAGAATTTATTCTTGCTACTTGTGTTGCCCTAATGTTATGACAAATTTATAAAAATTGATGATAAAATATATTTTTTAAGACAACTGAAAAATTTACCTCTTTTGAAACATATGTTTTAAAACCACCTTGATGATAACAGTGGTATCATTAAAAATTGTAGTAAAACAAAAATTTCCATTAATTAGAAAATAAATTAATAACCTTTGCATACATTTATGAACAACACAGTAAAATTTAAATATTTTAAAATATGAAAAAGAGTTTTTATACTATTATGGTTGTTTCATTGTAAGAATAGCTCGTGTCAAAATTTCAAAATGTTTGGATTTGAGTTCCTTGGAGAGAAAATATAATTGCAATAGAATTCATAACAGTTTTTGTTCTATTCTTTAGAAATGTTTGAATTTTCTGAGTAATAAATGTCAATTTTTAAAAAAAAATTTCAATAGAATTCATAACAGTTTTTGTTTTATTCTTTAGAATTTTCTGAGTAATAAATTTTAATTTGTGTATTAACTGATATCTCTGAAATTGTTCTAATTTGACAAATACTAAATACCTATTTTAAATAAAATGTTATAGAATCAAAATTTTAAAACATCGAATTGAAATTTGTGTAAAATATACACTCATTTCTCCCTTTAAACAAACAAGGTTTAAAGAAATCCTTTTTCTTAAAGAGGTACCAATTTTTTTTATACAAATTGCAAGTTTTGTATTTAAATAAATGAATAAAAAATTTCTGATTTAAGAATAATGTCAGTATCTTTATTTATTTTTTTAAAATTACAAAAATAATCCATTGGCCTTAAAAAATTTCCTGTCTTCTGTTTATCCATAATCATAATGTTCAAAGTTGCTAACATTACACAGAAAGCTGTTTTTTATTCAGTGGTAGTAAAAAAATGAAATAACAAATTTTTTAAATTTATTGGAAATTTGTTTAGCATCCACCTGTACTAAAAAACTTCTGCATTGTTATCAGCTCTTCTTGTATATGTTTGAATTGTTGATATGTCATGCTGATCAAAATAATTTTAAATCACATTTATTAAGCTTAAAATCATATGTTAAAACATATTTTTTTTTAGGATTAGAAAACATTTTCTGCAAAATTATAGAAGTTATTTGGTATTCAGCATTGTTAATCTCTTCTAACTTTACTTTTGAAATTTAATTCAACTAATAAATGTTTCTCAATTTTTTTTCTAATTCGATATAAATTCTCACAACAGAAAATTTAATATCTTTAATTTATATTTTATCTCTTATAGGGTACTTTACAGAAATTTGTAGATGATTTGTTTGAAACTATTTTCTCAACTGCACATCGAGGGAGTGCTTTACCTCTTGCAATTAAATATATGTTTGACTTCTTAGATGATCAAGCTTTAAATCATGCTATTTCAGATCCTGAAGTAGTTCATACTTGGAAATCAAATAGGTAAAAAAAATTTCCTCTAAATATCTAAGTAAAGATAATTTATTTATGAGACTATTTACATGCATTATTTTTCATTATATTTTTGAAAGTTTTAGTTCATTGAATTACGGTTTACAATGTTCTATCTTCAGTGTTTCCTTGTAATTTTATTGATTTGCTCTAAAAATTTCATGACTGAAGAAATATGCTGTAAGTGCCCTTATTGTAAATTCTGAAGAAAAAAGCTGTGAAGTTATAGCAGATTTATTTAAACTAATTACCTTTTTTGTAGCAAAAATAGTTTTAAATTACGCATATAATCTTTCTAAATTTAAGAATTCCTTTGTCATCAGTCTTCAAATTCTTTCTAATAAAATACGCCATTTACTCTTCAAATAATTAAAATATGTCTTTTATCTCTTTCAGCTTACCTTTAAGGTTTTGGGTTAATTTAATAAAGAACCCAAATTTTGTATTTGATATTTACAAGACAAATATAGTGGACTCTTGCCTATCTGTTGTGGCACAAACCTTCATGGATGCTTGTTCTACTTCAGAACATAGATTAGGCAAAGATTCCCCAAGTAGCAAACTTCTTTATGCCAAAGATATTCCAATTTACAAAGACTGGGTGGAGAGGTTAGTTGATATGAATGTGTTAATATTTAATATATATTTCTAAAAAGTGTTTTCGTTCAATTTATTTATTGCTATGAATATTTACAGGTATTATCAAGATATACAACTCATGCCAGCAATAAGTGATCAAGATATGAATGCCATGCTTGCTGAAGAATCAAGGGTTTGTGAACTTTATTTTTTTTTCAAAACTATAAGATTTTGATTGTAGTATGCACATCACATCCAGTAATCATGTGACTAAGTTTTTAGGTTTATAAAAGAATATCTAGTTGATTATTAAAAGATACTACTTTTACTTATACAGTTTTAAAAACTGTGGTATTCTTCTCTCATGCTCCTTCAGAAATAAATAAAATGCAAAATACTTTATTATTTGCCTTATTCATAAAAAAAAACTAATCCCTCTGTGAACAAGACAACCCATGGAGGGTCAAGGCCTTCTTGTACCCGTTCAAATTTCTTAACCTCAGGCTCTAAGGTGCAGATGTTATGGTTAGGTTGTCAACTGAAGGCGGTTCCCTTGGTGTTTAGTCTCCAAGCATGCTTATCAAAAGACTGAGTCGACCTGTCGGTCTGAGGAAAAACACTTTACCTGTGTCATGAGAGCGTGAAAGCTACCACTCAGCTAACCAGCCTTTTTGCTTATACATAGTTATTTCATTTATTGATGATCAGATTATTGTTTTGTTGGCATTTATATTAGATTATTGTATAAATATTTAAACAATAACAATGAAATAACAGTTGAGCGTTATGAAAGCAAATTGAATTTACCAAATAATTTTGAACAGTTCATCTATTTATTATCTAAACTTTTGACACACTTTTTAATAGAAAAGGTGTTTTACTCTTATCTGAAACATAATTAAAGTTAATTGAAAAACAAATAACCGTACATGGATTTAATACATCATTTATTGTAATCCCAGAATCTATTTAGTTTAAAGATTAAATTTATGATTATATCACTTCATTTACTGTCATTTTATTATATCTTACACAATGAAATTTTTCCACATATATGACCTCTTCACAAAGCCTTCAACCATAATTTTTTTAATTAAAAAAAAAGCTAGAAGGATATTAGATGCACACGTGTAGTTAATAAACACACCAATGCCTTTTGTTTTAAGATATTAAAAAACCCTCATATTTTAAACTTTTGAGTCAAAAGTTATACTTTACAGCCCAAGATGATCTCCTAGTTTTGCTTTAAGTGAAATCTTGGTTCAATGTAAAATAAACGGTATCCACTATTGATGTTTATCTCTCTAAAAGAATCTCATTGGGACTTCATGTCAATTACTTGGTTAATTATGATCAGGTGTTTTAATTAATACTACCAAATTTTATTTGTGTGTTTCACAATGCCTAATATCTCAAGTATTGTTATATTTTGTGGATTTTTATTGGCCTTTAACTTTTTGTCATTTATTATGGGGAAAAAAAAGTATGATACATGCTTATATATTCTAACCCATCTGTACGATTCTCATTAGTTAAAAAAAATTTACATATGTATCAGCTTTTCTTACATCTACACCTTAACAACATCTTTCTTATACTATTTGTGTACACACAAAAAATTATGGTTGGATATTTTTGGAAGACACTATTTTACCATAGGGTAGTTAAATTTGACTATCAGCATTAGACTAAAGTGTTACTGAAATAGAATTCAGAACTGAAGTGAGTTCAGTATTTCCACTGAGTAATGTAATCTATTGCCCCTAGACCAATGGGCTTGAAGTTTAAATGAAAGTATGTTGCTTATAATCTGAATGGTACTCTACGAAACATTTCTGAAGGAATGATGTGTCTGTTATTGTTATCGCAAGAAGTATTTCTTCTATCAGAATCAAACATCTGATTTCATATGAATTGAAATATTTTTCAATGTATGTATGAAAGTATTTTCAATGAAAAATGTATTATTATAAGAAACTAACTTCAATATATTTTCTTACAGCTTCATGCACATGAATTCAATACAAATGTTGCCTTGTATGAGCTCTATAGTTATGCTGTGAAGTATAATGATCAGGTAAGAATGCTTTTTTTTATATCTTTGTGTGTCAATGATGTAGGCATTTAATTGTTTCTTATTTTTCTTGTGAGCTTTTAAAGATTTAATAAAATCGCAGAACGTTTTTTTCTCACAAATTTTGAGTTTAAGATTTAATTAAATCTGACTCAATTTCATCAAAATACATTATTAAAAAAAATTTGACATACCAAGAAATCATTTGAATGAATCAAAATTGGTAAATATGTGACACATGTAGGAAAGAGGTGAACAAATAATTCATGAGACCATCTTCTAATAATTATGAAACCATATCTCAAGAACTTTTTAAGCAAATTAAAATGTTTGCAGACAATTATGAAATTAATTTATTCAAAAATTATTCCATGTGGCAAAAAAAAATCTAGTAAGTATTTATTATTTGAATTCTTAGATGTACAATTTTTTACATCACTTTAAAGAATACAAAATTTGAGTGAAATCGTAGCCACTATTTTATACTTTCTGTTTCTAATGGGTGAAATAGATATGGGATTTCAACAACCTTATAAATGTGTCATTTAAACAGTTTTTTGCCTAAATAATTATTCACTTTTTATCTTTTAGCCTTTAAATAAATTTTTTTATTGTAGTTTATCTCTGGTTATTTAATCCTATATTTTCTAATAACCTGCATATTTTTTTAGTTATGCATTTTGTCAGAAAAGAAGTTTTCTCTCTTGCAAATCAGTTCATATTTTCTGATTTTTTGCTATTATGGTATAATTTCCATTGCTATTTTTAGGCAGCCTGCAACTGTTAACCCTTTTTAATTTTACAGCTCATTTGTATCAAATTCTGTGATGAATTTTAGAATTATTTTATTCAGTACTGTTTTACAAAATATTTATATATAAAAAAAACCTCATGTATAAAATGGTCTAACAAAACCTATGTTTTCATAGACCACTACTCTATTGAGAACTAATTATGCATATTTTTTAATAATTTGAATGCTCAATTGCTTACTTCAGGTTTGATCTACATAATATTAATGGGTTTCTGTCGAATTCTAAATTGAATATTTAATAAACTACATCAGTTTTATTATTCTTAATTTTTCTTTTCTTTTTCAGCTTATGCAAACATTAGAAGAAGACGAGTTTTCACGCAAAAACAAGTTAGCTTGGAAACTAGAACAAGTTCATGCAATAATGAGTGGTGAATCTGAAGCATGACAGTATTATTGGCAATCTGTGGACGTATGACGCTACTAATGTCCCCAACGTGATTTGTCAGACCTTCACCGATTGCCACGGCTCGGTTTCAAGGACTTGCTGCCACTTGTTGGGATCCTCCATTCTATGCAATTAGGATGCTCTCTGAGGTGCATTTGGGTGCAATAATTAGTTTCACCCTTTGCCCTCAGTTCCTAGACAGCAACGAAAATTCTGTGAACGAATGAATTTTTTGGTACTGTTATTAAATGCAAATGGACAATAAAGAAATAAACTTGCCACCTGAATAAAATAGCCTGCCTGCTTTTGGAACGCTTTATGGATCTGTATAAAAATCAAATTGTTGTGTGATAGCAGGCACAAATACTTAATGAGCTGAGCTAACCGATGCTCATTATGTTGGTTATGGTGCCAAACAATGGCAAGCATTTCTGTTTCTAATAGTGGGCCCTATTTGGATGCACCTAGTCTTTTACTATTCTTCGTCCCCTTTTGCATTCCTTGCTGAAATGATTTTTTTATTCTCTCATGATCAAATGTTCACCAACTGCATGTGCAACTTCCAGTGCCTTTTTAATGCATGCTTCTGAGTTCTTTTGAAAATTTAGAAGCCATTCCAGTTTTACCCTTAGTAGCCTTGACCTTGAGTCTTCCACTTTGTGTTCCTTGTCTAAGAACAAAGACTCGTTTATTTATCTCATTGTTTAAGGGGCCTTTCGTGAGTCGGTATGAAGTATGAAAACAAATAATGAACTCCAAACCATTGAAAAATGAATCAAGGCAATATGTAGAAACATATATCTATATCTATATATAAATATATATACAACTGTACATATACATGCATATAAATATATAGATAAGTGCCTATATATGTGTATGTATGTATGTGTATAACAACACATAAAAACACATCTGTGCACTGCTACTAATCGTGGTTATTGTTGCATTTTAAGGCACGGAATAGGAACAATTTGCAGTGCCCATACAAAGTAGCTAATAGAATATAGCTCGTCTACCAAAATCTAGTACCCAGATTTAAAAACTGCACTGTGATAGACTTTTTTCCTCTCACCCCACAAATACCCATTCCATTTGTTTTATACACTTCCATGTAATTTCGTTCTATAAATAAGAGCAAATAATTATAAACATCACCGAAGGAGTGGCCGAAATTCCTTCATTTTCTTCACTTCTACATGATGAACTGTCGTCCAAACAGACAACTGATTTCATCCACATTAAGGAAGGTTGTATATCTGATGTGACTTTTTGAAGTATGTGTCCTCATCCTTTGGAATCAACATTCATTGCACATGAAAGAGCTCAATTAAATGAACAGTGGCACATCAATCCCATGCTGCTTGTGTAATTTCCTGAGAAATTCACCAGAAAATAATGCTGAGTAGCAGTATCAAAAGTCCTAAAAGATTTCTTTGCTTAGGATGAATATCAAGCAAAAGACACTTTTTGGTACAACCTTAAACTTTGTAAAATATTTATAGCATATTTTTATTATGATGTTGATTTAGAGCCTAAACCTTGCTCAAAATGATTTCCTGTCACATGTAATAACAAGAGGGTGTTTCAAAAGAATTTGTTGCTCCTCTTAATTGTAAAAATGTTTCTGTTTAGATAATTGGTCCCAGTTTTCAGCACAAATTGTTTCATAATACAGGTACTGACATGACCAAATCACAAACGTTTCTCACAAATTTCTACGTGTATTCAAGTTTTTAATAAAATGTATAAAACTTTGACTTTGTGGTAACTTTATTTTCAACCCACTGCTTTGAAATAAATTGATTTTATAAACTAATTTAAGAAGTATGGTACTTAGGTAAAAATTATTGCCAGGTAAGGTTTTTAAAGTATTAAGATGGAAATTAGTTAATTACCTTAAACTTGGTAGTAACAACCCTTCAAGACATTATCTTTTTTTTTTTAAAAAAAAAAAGATCTACTCAATTTGATAATTGCTTAGTCACGAATAAGCAAGTATTCAATTTTTACAAAAGAAAGGAATTTTTTTTTAGAAAAGCTCAAATAAAAATCCTATGTGATTGCTATTTTTACCAAACTTTGTCAGAAACCCAGCAAACTGATAAGTACCAAAAATTTTATTTTGTTATTTATTTTTACTTAATTTTGCAGTTTTTAATTAAGGAAAAAAAACTCTCCGAAATCGGACATTTTCAGATTAAAAACACTTCTTACAATGCATGTTTTTTCACTACTACTAGTTATAACAAAATTTTAAGAACAAACACATATTTATATTTTAGTATGGATTTTATGAAAGTACAGTCCTTAAAGTTCAAAAAAAAGAATTGTGCATTTTTTAAAAAGTTGTTAGGATGGGTGTTCTAAATGTCACGAAAAGTTTCTTTTTACAGTTTTTCACAAATTCCAAAAAAAAATGAATACCAAATGTTAGAAAAATTTTAAAAAATAGTGCATAAATTTTTATAAAAAGTAGACAAACATTTTTATATTTTCCAAAAAAATATATATGATTTATGAAATCCACTCAAATTTTTACTAAAGGTTAAATCTCTTAAGCTATGTTCGTGGTGCAAATAAATATGTACTATTATTTTTAAAATCGTGCAATAATTAAATTGCAGCAAATAGACTTATTCTAATTTTCATAAAACACAATATACAACTACAATTTTTAGATACTCAAGTCCCAAATGTATGGCACACTTTTAAAGAAATAAATTTTAGGGAAAAATTGTTATTCATTTTTAATCTGAGTGCCAATGAAATTTTCGTAAAAAAATTTGAGTTTTTGCAACCATTTTTAGAAAAAATTAAAGCTCAATTTATCTACTATGGTAAGTCAAAGAAATTTTTTTTTTTTATGGAAGCCCGACTTAGCACTCTTATTATTGCAGTATTTTCATTCCTACATTTCGACTAAAAGAGCAGTTTGCATTTTCCTCTAAGCTAATAGTATTTTGTTCTCTGGCAACTACGAGATGATATCTCAGTGAGGTTGCTTTCAGTTTGAACAGGTTATTTCTATTTAAACAAAAATTTATGAAAAAAAAGATTTTCACTTATTTAGTAATATGTTTATTACTCACATTCAAAAAAAAATTTTTTTAATTACTAAATATTAGAATTGAATTGAATGTACGGTTTAATGGCACAAGGTCATTATTAAATATTAAGTGTACATCTACAAATATATTTAAAAGTACCCCAAAATATATATCTTTCTTTAACATTAACTTGTTCGAATCTATTTTTAATTTAAAAGGAATTTTTAAGCAAACCAGTTTTCAAAATAAAGAACAGATATTAACAAAAAAGTATACTTATGCAGACTATATAATACACACTAATATGTGACTAACCTGTTATAATGAAGTACTTGAATACTACAAGTGTTTAGTTTTTTGCCAGCCTAATTTGATTGGTTTTTAGCCTCATTCATTCATGCTATCAACTAGTAGCTAATAGTTTTTTCTTAACTGAAAAGAAAATATTAAAATTATATTTATATGAGATAGTTCATATAAGCAACAAAATTTAATTTTAAATTGATCAAGAATTGGAATAAAAACAAGTGAACTTAGATTTGAGTGGCAGGTGTACTCAGAGCAACAATCCTGTTCAAAAAATTTTTTTATCTTAAACATTATTTTTTTTATTTGTCTATATCATAATTACAGAAGGTGATATTTTTATCTGAAATTTTCTATACTTAAAATACACAGGGTGTTCCATAATGACCTACCTTATTTTATATAATTTTGATGTATTATAATCATGTGATATGACTAACCCCTTATAAAATGAAATAAAATAAAAATGTACATTAGGGATTATAAATTCTTTTTTAAACAAGGAACAAAATATATTGAACTGTAAAATCCCTTGAGAAAAAGGTGGGATAAAAACACAAAAATCAGTTTTAATGACTTATGAATCTTGTAAGTGCTTCTAACAATTGCATTACTATTCCACAGCATTTCCTTAGGCAGTCAAACAGGCTTTGACAAGGCAGTGCAAGAATAATTCTCCCAGAGCCATGCTTAAATTCCTTACAAAAATAATGTTTTTTTTATTATTATTTTTTTAAATGTGGGGAGTTTTTTGAGTATAAATTAAATAAATAATCATACAAACCTCAAAATATTTTTATTCAGCAGAAATAAGCACTAAAAAACAAGCAGAAGTTTATATTTTACTTTGTTTATGAAAAGAAAAAATATTATGTGAATCAAGGTATAAGCAACAACTTAAAAAAATACTTTTATTCAAAATTGTAGACTTTTTTTTTCCAATTTTAAGCTACAATTTTAAAAAGGCTTTTTCAAAAGTCTAACAAACGATAAAAATAAGACTAATTGCGTTTAAAGAAAGAAGCCCTACAATAAAGTTTGCTTTAAAAAGCCCCCCTAAATTCTGTGTCTGGCCTTGACGTTTCATGTTTACAGTCCCACCTTTCTCAGTAACGATTCGTTAGATTTCAATTGCGTTTTAACTATTTACTAAATTCATTTGAATCCATTTAAGTTGGTCAAGAAATAGCTATTTTATGTAATTTAATTTTAATGATTTATTGATTAACTGTTAAGGTTGCTTTTCGAAGATTCTGTTGTCGCATGAAATGATACCTTCATATGCTGTTATCATTATTGTTATGAGTTTATAACAGTTACTCATGACCGTCCGGTAATTTTCAGCCAGTGTCCCAGGCTAATTCTTAAAATAGCGCAAAACGTCAATATGGAGAAAAGCCGCAGTTTTGAGAAAATAAAGAACGTTTGTTGTCTAATTTTTTATTATTTAAAAACTTACTCCAATCCTGCTTTATCTGGGCTCTTAAAAATTTTCAAACAGTAAGAATAAGGCCTTAATTTTGATAATTGTCATCTTGTTCAAATGTCGCCAAATTGACGATTTTTTAAAAAAATTCTATATTTTTAACAAGGTTTTTCGAAGCTCATTCGCCAAGGAAAATACAAAAATCCATAGTTTAAGTGCCTTACATTTGAAAGTAAGCCATAATTTTAAACTGTATATGTCATCTTGCTGTAAAGAATTATCTAGGCTTCAGAACGAACAAGTAACTAAAATATTTATTGAACTTTCTTAAAAATTTTCAATTAGTAGAAATTTTTCCACCCAGATGAAAATAATCAAAATCAATGCCTTATTCCCATTTTTCCGCAAATTTTTATGAGCCCAGATAATGCAGCATTGGTGTAAGTTTCTAAATATAAAAAAATTAGACCACAAACGCTTTTCATTTTCTCATAACTGTGGCTTCTTTCCATTTCTTTCTTGACGTTTTGCGCCATTTACAGAATAAACTGAGGGCTCTGTTTAAAGATAGAATAAACTTGATCATGAGTAACTGTTTCAAACTCACATCAGTTATTAAAATAGCATATTCGAAAAAAAAATTAATAATTTCATGCGGCCACAGAGCCTTTGAAAAACAGCCTTAAAATATTTAAGTTATTTGTTTGTTCTAAAGCCGAGATAATTCTTCACGACACGTGGGCATATATAGTTTAAAATCATAGCTTTGCTTCAAATGTGGCTTTTTTTTTTTTTTCCTTGGTGAAAATGCTTTGAAAAACCCCGTTATAATTCTCAAAATTGGTCACCAAATTATTAAATTAGAATAAAACAGCTACTTATGAACCTACATGAATGCAATTTTTGACAATTACTAGAAAACGTAGAATTAGTATAAAATTAAGATAATTTAATAAATAAAAGTATACTAGCAGCACATAACGGAGCGGCTCCCCAACGTTGTTCGATGACACTTCCGACCATTGGTCTTTATGCAATTCTTAATCCGTATGATTTGCCCAACTTCCCCTAAAAGTTTGCAACCGCTGCACTGAATGGACAACTAGTCAAATTTTCATTTCGGGACGTAGCTAAGTTTTCTGTTGACCGAACTTTAAGCCAAAACGTAAATATTTTCCTCATGAAGCCTCATCTCTCTCTCTGAAGATAAACAAAAACCAGTTCTGAAGTATGCGAAGTGGATCTTTTTTTTTTCTCAAACATACACAAAGCAAAGCTTCTTACGTAATAGAACCTCTTAAACCTCTTTCCTTGCTTCGGAGATCATCTTTCTTAAAAGGACACCATACCAAAGAATATGAAAAGGAGTATATATGCTATTGTGAATGACTGAAATTGGTAGTTTTATTTTATTTTATAACCGTCGTTGAACAGCCGACCCAATTTTGGGTTTATGACTACCAATCCTCAACTCCGTAGCCCTGTAATTTTGAACCAATCCCGAAGTCAACGAAACTCCTGGGTCAATACACCCAGAGGTATATTTTGCAATGGGAACATGGAAGACTTTGTGACTCGACAGATTTAACGTGCACCATTTACTACACAGTCTTTGGCCGGCGGGGATCGAACCCACGACTTCTTGGTCGTGGGCCTGTTTCCCTACCAACCAGGTTATTCTGGCAGCGAAATTGGTAGTTGTTGACTTCCACCGGTTAATGTTGAGAGTCACATAGTCGCTTTGTAAATGTCCGAAATATATACTAGGTTTAGTTAAGTGCCACTGCCCGGTACATATTAGCCCGGCATACCCTGCATGTTTTATTAAGGCTCAATGCCACTGCCCGGTATATATTTGCCCAGTATACCCTACACTTATGTTTCTCCTAATCTATCCTCAGCATACATTTAACATCGATAAATGTAATAATATCAACTAATAAATTAATATCAAATCGGATATAACAAATATTTCAGA